CCTGGGCCGCGGCAGGGAGGGATCTGTTGCTTTATGCGAGCTCCCCCCGTCACTAACTAGAACATAGGCTTTTGGTTTTAACTGTTCCGCAACGTTTTCTCCGCTTTATGTCGCTCGGATCGTGTGCCCGTATTTCCATTTATCGCTGTGTTGCTCTGTGCCTTACCAGAAAGAGAAAAAAGAGAAGAAGTCTAAACGCCGTGACAAATCTCGGAGGAGAAAGGCTCAGACGGATGAAAGTGAGCAGTCGGAGGATGACTTTGATTCCCCGAAACTCAAGAAATCACGGAGTGGAGTTAAACAGAACGGTGATACGAGAGAAGAAAGCTCGGAGAACACGAGATTATCCTCCTTAAACATTAAATCCACCCACAAAAAACGGCACAGTAATTCTAGTGAAACATCAAGTGGTGACGGTGACAGTGAGCAAGAGCAGGTAAAACTAACGATTGATTTAGTTACTGTGATGTGTTTAGCTTTCAACTCCTGCACTGCAACAAGGTTGAATTTAGAACAGGTTTGTTTTTTTTTTTTTTTTTCCCCAATCATTGGAAAGACTGCTGTAAATTTTCAGGGTTTAAAGCTGCTTGGAACTGTCCCTTCTGTCGATTATTTGCAAAAACTTTAAATTATGAAAGTCCTGAAGTTCTAGATCAGCGCACCATGGTTTCCTCACTTCAACAGTCCAGTACTGTGGTAGCTGTTGGCAGACAGACAAGCTGCAGTGAGATGGTGCTTTAATATGATTCAGCATCATTAGATATGATTGTAATTGCCAGAAATATAGTTTAATTGACTTCTTTTTGGTATTATGAGTACTTCTTTAGTGAAATAAGAATTATTTGGTTTCAGCTAGTGGAAGAAGAGAAGTCATGTATTAATACATGTTTTTACGTATTACCTTATTAAATAGTAGTTGCTAATGTGATAAGATGGTCCTTAATGTAGTAAAATACCATGTTGTAACAGTTTTGTAAGTCTTTTTAAGCCTTTCTGTAAGAATATTTTTATTTTGTTGGACTATTTCTATCTGATTTAGGTTCCTTTAAAATTGCTTGACATGAACCATATATTTTTAGAAGGGAAACGTATCTTCTTGTACCTGGGATTTGTTTTGAAAAGTTGTGTACCTGTACATTCTGCTGTTGCTTGGTTTTGTTTCTTGTTCTAACTGATGCTTCACAAAGCATCCAGGGTTTCCATGGTTTCCAGGGTTAGCATTCTTTCCTCACGCTTAGCATTTTAATCACTGTGCTGTTAAAACGTATATGGAAGTGGTGCCTTACTGAGTAGGTACATCTGATGCTCTGTCTCGTAACGTTGTTCTTTTGGGGATTGATTTCTGTATCTGTAAATCACTGTACTGTGTTAATTGGGAGATAGGAAATAGGCTAGATATCAAGCCTGATTCTTGCATATTGCAGCCTAATCTGTCAGGCCATTGGTAATTATTTCAAATAGAATGTTAAAATTTAATTAAGAGTTTTGAGAGTTTTAATTTGGGTGTTCTGCATTTACAGGGTTATGCCATTAGATATGAAACAATCTTAACTTAAATTACAGATCGCTCTTGTCTAACTTTGAAATATGATAGTAAGTAAAACAAAGAAGGCTCTTTAGCTGCAGCTGTGATACTGTCCCTGAAAATTTGACCCTTAGGTATGACACCAGTGCCTATGCCATTACCTGGAATTTTTTGATGGTCATTTGATATTCACATGGAACGTTATCTGATTTATTGTTCACCCAACAGGAGATGACTGAAGAACAGAAAGAGGGGGCTTTCTCCAATTTTTCTATTTCCAAAGGGACTGTTCAACTTCTTCAAGGTAAATTTCTTGGCATGATGTGACCACAGAAAGTAAATTATCTCTGTTGTGTGTTTTTATGCTCAACATATTCAATCAATGATCTTTGAGATGTGCTCTGCTTGTGCGTATGGAAGCATAGATGCTATACAGAAGGCATGTTGATTGCCTACTCTAAATACATCTTTGAACACAGACTTTTCTGTTTGCAGTATTGCCCAGTTCAGCCTTTACAGTAGAATTTTAAATGACATAAGCTCAAAAAAAAAAAAAGAATTCTGTGTGAGAATTTTTGAATTAAAAGTTATTTCAGTGTGAGTAAAGGAAAACCAGCTTTATTTGGTATCTTTGACATTAGTTTGTGTGTGACTTAGTATGAATTAAGAGAAGAATAGAAGTGGTTTTGATATGTGTTTTATTTGAAAGGAAGAAATTTTCATAGATGGGGAGTATTACATAAATAAAGCCATAGTACTTAATGGCTTTCATTAAAGGCTGGTAACTTCATCTGTCCCAGCTAGCACTGTGTCTGGTAGTATGAAGTGGGAGAATAAAATGGGCAGTCCCAGGGAACTCTTTATAGATGACGCCTGTGATTAAATAAATCAATGGAGGTGATAATACAGTTCTGACTTGAGAGTTTACGGAAATTCTACTTGGGATAACTTCCTCTGAACAATATGGAAGAACGCTTGTAAGGTGGTTGTATTAACAAAGTCTGTTGAAATTGTCACAGCTCGAGGAGTCACATACCTGTTTCCTGTGCAAGTGAAGACCTTCGACCCAGTATATTCTGGCAAAGATGTGATTGCTCAGGCACGAACTGGAACAGGGAAAACATTCTCTTTTGCTATCCCCTTAATTGAAAAGCTTCAGGCAGACTCACAGGAAAGAAGAAGAGGCCGTTCACCAAAGGTAACTATGCTTAGAATGCTGATTTTGCTTTGTCTTATGTCAGAGTGATTCCGAGTTTTAACCCGCTGGAAAAGTTCTTCAAGTTTGTGTAGGGAGAAGCTAACCCACATTAAAGCTTCTTTGAAAGTTGTGTTTGTGGGGCTTTGCCTGCATCCTGTGCTGCCTCATACCCTCTCATCAAGAGTAAAGAGGAAAATAGCTCTATCCGCTTGTCAATTCCTTTTTCTGCTTACAGGGAGACCGAAACTACAGGTATTCAACGTGGTCCTAATTAATTTTGTTCAGTCACCTTACCTGTTCAGGTCCAGTGGTTACTGGCTGCTTGTTTTTCTCCCAAATTAGTAACAGATTAGTGACTTTTTCTGATTGATAAAGGCTGTCTACTTAAACATGTTTGTTTAAACATGTAAATAGTGGGAAGTTTTAAAAACGGACTTAGTTTTCACTAGGACCGCCACCAGCTATTAAAGCTTCTGCTCCAGAGAATGCATATTCATTATGAGCTGTCTGCATTCCACTAGGGACTACCATGTATGTTTTTTCACCATATTCTTATGATGCCCTCCAGAACTAGATAGGCCAAAGCTTATCGTATCCCTGTTAATAGTGGAAATTTTTTTTTTGGTTGTTTTATTTCATCTTGTCACCCATCTCATTGATTACCTGAAACTCATTCCAAAATTAGTACTAGCTGTTTTATTTGCATATGCCCATCATGTTGGCTGTCTGACTGAGAATGCTGGCTCTAGATTTGGTAGTCTTGTGGAGAAGGGAAAGCTTTCTTTGAGGGAGTCACAAGTGTTCAAATAAGAAAATTCAGGCCTCACTCTACCATAGTACACTGCTACTTTCTTTTTTGTAATGTGTTTTAATGTTGAAAGAAGTAACAGGATAAGGATTTTAAGGTTCCTTTTGTCAAGCCACTGATGCCAGGTTTGAGAGCAGTACTGTGATCACACGTTAAACTAAATTAGTTAAAACTCCTAGCTGGTAGCTTGTCCATCACCTGCGGGGAAGCCTGTATATTGGAAGAGAGGATGGTTCCTTGGCTGCTTCTGTGGGGATCTTAGCACAGGCTCCAGAACCATGCTGAACACCAGCTTTGCAGACTGAACATATGTTTCCCTGAGTCACGGGGGAGCTGAGAGACAGCTGATAGCTCTTTCTTACACCTTCTCGCAGGACTGTGAAGCATTACTGAGCATGTGTAAAAACATTTTATTACCCAAATCCTTCAGTCTTGTACTCAAACAGCATATGTGCACGTAGAAGAGAACTTTTAGCTGATCTGTTCAAGAGCTAAATAAGATTTAAGTACCTCCTGTCTCATTTAAAAAGAAGTTAGCCTGTCATAAATGAGTGTGTGCTGAAGGAGATTAATAACGTTACAAAAGATTTAAGCAGCGTGTTTCTCTAATCTTTGCTTAGATAACTGTTTAAACCAGATTTTTTTTTTTTCCTGAAAATTATGTAAATGGTCAGACCTGAACTGATGGTTAGAAGTCTAGTGGCTTCTTGGCAGAAGCCATGCTGAAAGAACATCTGTATGTCTGTCTTCTGTCTAGGTACTAGTTCTTTGTCCAACAAGAGAGCTGGCAAACCAGGTTGCCAAAGATTTCAAGGACATCACAAGAAAGCTAACAGTAGCTTGTTTTTATGGAGGAACTCCATATAATGGACAAAGTAAGTGACACTTATCACTAATAATTGAAATGTTGATTGACTGACATATTTGAGAAATGCAGCTGGGTTCTTCCAAACATACACTTTTAACTCATGAACTGGAGAGTATTCATGGGGAATTCAGTAGCTCAGAATGTATCTTCTTATGGTGAGAAATAATCTTAGCTCTCAATTATATGCCTGGTGTTCCTTGTCTATTCATCTACTCTTAATTAAAGTGAAAGAGATTATACTGTCTGTATACAGAGTATTTGGGTTTAGGTTCTTGTAAACAGTTATATTTTCTTTAAAAAATCTTTAGTCTTAGAGCTGTGAGTGGGTGTGGGGTTTTTTGTGTGATACGAGATATCTAGAGGATTTGTAAAGTGGAGAAGAATTTTTTGTTATTGTGACAGCATAATTTACCATCTTGATGGTTGTAAACAAGGCAAATAAGAGC